CTGCCAAACACCCGCAGCTCAGGCACAAGCCTTGAGCCAAGCCATATGCTGGGCTGTGCCTCAGTTTCCCCCTTGCTGAGGATGTTTCCACATCCCCCTCCCGCCTGCTCTGCCCACTGCTCGGGGCCACCAGTCTTGAGATTCACCCTAACGCTGCTCCATGCTCTCTCTGCAGCAAGAGGAGCCGGTCGAGGCCGAGAGCCAGAGCATCTTGCCCACCTTCACCCTCAGCCTCAAGGAGATGCAGACGAACCCGGTAAGAACGGCACCGGCCTGGCAGGAGCCTTTGGGGACCAGGAGATGCCACCCTGGCACCGTACATCCCCTGTGCTTTCCTCTCTCCAGGCTCTCCCCATCGCTGCGTGGCCCAAGCGGAGGTCGCACTGCATGGAAAGGAGCAGCCAGATTTCGCCCAAGCTACTGAAGCAGGAGTGCAACAACACACCAGTCTCCATCAATCCCGGTTCAGACCAGTGGGATAGCAGAAGGGGCCCCAGCACCTCCCCGCTGAGCCAGAACTGTGGCAGCCTCCCCGCCACCAGCAGCCACAGGGTTGATGCAGGTGGGGACCAGGGACATGGCCCTCCTCATTACCCCATCTCTTCCCCCTCTTTATGGGCATCCCGCATCTTTCCCAGCCTCTGTGCACCCCAATGCACTCAGAGCCTGGGCTAAACCCCCCTGGGTCTGAGAAGCGGAGGGTGGGAGCTGGTTCCCAGGGGGGGAAATATGAGAGCAATGCTCAGGTGTGGACAGGGATGCTCCATCCAGCTCCATGTCCTGCCTCCAAGGTAGCCAAAACCAAGCCTAGGGAAGAGCATAGCTGCAGGGCAAGCGTGCAGAGAGACTCCCCTGCCTCCTGCTCCAGGATTTTCCTGGGGCAAAAGCCACTACAATTTGTAGCAGAACACATTTTCTTCCCCAAGCTCACCCAGCCCCACTCCAGCCCCACTCCCCGCAGTGAGGGGTCCCAGGCTCAGCTTTGCAAACAGGAGGGAAGATGAAATGAATTTTCTGGAGGGGCTGGTGCAGGGTCTGTGGGGGTGAGGCAGGAGTGGAGGAGAGGTTGCCCCCACGTGGGGTGAACCACCCAAGGGCTGGGTGGTTCATAGTTCTGGTAGAAGCGTTTGTCCCCCGCTGCAAAAATCAAGAGATAAGGTCAGTCCTCCCGTGGGAAAACCAGTGTGATCCAAAAAATCAGAGCTTCAGCACCCTGTTGTTCCCTCCGCAGAAGACACCAGCATCATCATCTGCAGCTCGGAGGACAGTGAGGAAGACACGGCGGTGAGTGTAATGCCAGGCCTCCCTCCTTGCTGAGCCACGCCGCCGGCAGAAGAGGCAGCTGCCCCCCGTCATCCCAGGGGTGCCCTTCCCTTTCCTCCAGCCACGCTCGGGCCAGAGCTTTCTGCCTTCCTAGCGTCAGCCAGAGACTTGCTTGCAGCTTTCTCTTCCCCTTCGGTTGCTCCCAAGCGGCAGAGCATCTGGGCTGCCCCAAATCTAGTCCTCCTGGGCTAAGACCTTTACCGGTGTATCTCCTGGGAATCCGGAGCAGCCAGGGTCCTCTCTCTCTGGCAGCAAACCTCACCTTGATTTGCTCTGAGGGGAGATCCCACACCAGCCGATCCCCCGAGATGACCATTTGGACTTGGTCCTTATGGCCTCTTCTCTTCTGCCTTGCTGGGAAGGTTGTTCTCATCTTTAAAAAAAAAAAAAAAAATCAATTTTCATTTAAAAATCAAGTTTGCAAATTGAATGCAGCAGCCGTGCTCGGCGAGTTCGTCAGCCCTGTGCCTACACAGGCTGAGAAGCTCCCAGGACCCACCAGAGCTGGTAGGGACCACCTGAGCATTCCCCAGAGCGACACTTCCGAGCATCCCGCGCTGCCATTTCACAGCAGTGATGCTGCAGACTGGTGCATTGCAACCAAATGGCCCTGGCTGAGGTGGTTAGATGAACCAAGGGCATGGGACCCCTGCAGAGATGCCCCCTCACCGGTACAAGCAGGGGATCCCTTGGGAAACAGAGGCGAGCGCTGCCTGTTTGGGGTTGAGGCACCTTGGTTTTCCAGCACTGGCTTAATGAGGGGTCAACAGCCCCATTTTTTCTTTTTTTTGTATAAACTAATGCAGAAGCTCTTCTTACTTTTCAATAAAGCTGTTTCCAGATTAAATCCCATCCCGCTGCTGGCTTCCTTATTTTTTTTCCTTTGCTGTTTTTCCTTGCTCTCCTGACTCATCTCTAAAAGAGGGGAAAAAAATTAAAAAAAAAAAAAAAAGAAAGAGGTATGGGGCTAAAACCCCATCTCCACTCCCCGCTAGTGCCAAAAAATCCCGAGGCTGGGGCTTTTGGGGATGTTAGCAGCTTGCTGTGAGGAATCCCTGAGTGAATTAGGCATCCTTTGGTACGATGTGGGTTTAAGAGTGTAGCAAAGGCGCAGGCTGAAAAAAAGAAAAGAAAGGTCTTGGGTATAAACATCTCCCCAAAGTCTGGTGCTGGGCACTAGAAAAGCACAACCTTGAGAGCTGGGAAAAATTAATTTAAGGCCCAGGAAAAGGGGGAAAAATAGAAGCTGAGTAAGAAAAAAGGTGGAGCAATGGGATGAGGCAGCAGGATGCCGCCCAGGGAAGCTTGCAGCTTTCAGTGGGTGGAGGGCACAGGCTAAGGACCTGCCTAGAGGCTCAGCCATCTAAAAGGAGATTTGGGGGGCTGGGGAGGAACCTTTGTGGGGTCACCTGGGGACTGTCCTGCTCTGCATGCTGAGCTGAAGCCGCAAGAGCATCGTCGGCGCCCGGCTCTGCCCGGATCCGTCGCCTACGGCCACCGCGGTGCGACGAGTGCCTGTGTGTCCTCATGGGTGATTTTCCTTCTCGCAAATCCCGCACGTTTTCCCTCTCTGCTTAACCCTTCAATAAAACCTTTTTGCATAGACATTCAGTCAGCTTGTTGCTGGTTTGAGTAATAAGAGCATCTGCGATCACGTTTTGGTGCCGAGTTTGGTTCATCTAACTCCCTTCAGGCCAGCTGGGCCACTCCGGGCACAGCCAGTGCACGGGGCACTGCCACCACCCAGCCACCAGTGTCGTCCTTCTCCTGTCCCTTCCCAGACAGACCGACCCCATACACCCTTCAAACACGGGATTTTAACCTGGCATTTAAGCAATTCCACGTCCCCTGAGCTGGGGAGCGCTTGGAGGCATCAGTCTGGCCACGTTTCTACCACTCCTGGCCTGCAGGTGAAGGTGCAGAGAGCTGGTGTGGGGGGGAGATGGGGAACTCCCATCACTGCAGGATGCCCAGGCCAGGGTGCAGGATTGTCCCTAGGGGAAAGAGGGAGGAAAACCAAGGCTGGAGCCTCTTGAATGCATTGCTGTCCTACTCTTCCTGTCGGGAGATATTCCCTGTGGGCGTCCATCCCCGCTGAGGCTGGGCGGGATGGCTGCTTTTGCTCGCCCTTGGGAAGCACGGCTGTAGACACCGCATCTGCTGAGCCTGGAGAGGCAGCAAACCTCCTCCTGGCCTGATTCAGTCCCCTTTTCCTCTAGACACCAACCAGATCTTTAAATCCAGTGGGATCTCAGGTGGTCAGGTTGCTCAGCCACGTTTATGTCCCTGCATGAACTGCATCTGCATGACATGTGCAGAAAGGGACTCCAAGTCCCTGAAGCTGCATGTCATGTCCCTCTGGCCGCTCCCTGGATCCCCCCCCCCTGCTCAGAACCAGCTGCATTCAGCATTCAAGGCTCTGCTCTTGCTCACTGGGCCCAGACCCTGGTTTTGGGCTCTCAACAGGGCTCCCCATGGCCAGCCTGCTCTTGAGACACAACACACACCCGACCCATCCCTGGCAATGCCGGGACATCACACCCAGCAGGTTTCATGGCATTGCACACAACCAGGTCCTTGCCCATGGCCAACAGTGCACCCAAGGGCGTTCCTCATGCCTTCCCAGCTGGGTCCAAGCAGGCAGATGGGACTTGGCCCCCTTCTCTGATCTCTTGCAGGCTTCCAGCAAGCCCAAGGACATTAAGATGCTCTCCAGCCCTACGTGGTCCGGGAGCGGCACCTCACCCCACCACAGCACTGGTCCCACCAGCCCCTGGGATGATGGGTCGGAGCTGAGCAGCTTGGTCTTCCTCAGCTTGAAGGTTGACCAGAAAAGTGAGCATTGCCCTTCCTGGGCGCAGGGGGCTGGGGGGGAGCAGACAGGGGCACCACCAAATGCTTACTCATGCCCTGTCCTTTCCTCTCCACAGCCCAGAGCATCATGGAGGTGGCGGCAGCCAACGGAGGGCACACCTTCAAGACACTGATTCAGACGCCCGAGTCGGTATTGACACTGCTCTCCCAGGGTGTCCCCATAGAGGAGGGGATGCAGCACCTCCTCTTGTACCTCTCCCCACTCCCCAGGCCCATCCTCATCATCTATAACTTCTGGGCACCAGAGCTGCCCGCTCTATTTAAAGCCCTGGATGCCACGGGCAGGAAAGTGGACTTTTGCCACATTGTAGGTGGTTACGTGGATATGTTGCCCTTGATCAAAGCCAAGCTGCCCAGGGCCCATTCCTACAAGCTGAAGAGCCTGCTGAGAAGGCACCTGCAGCAGCAGCTCAACGAGGGCAGCACGCTAGCCATGGCCAAGGCCTTGCAGGAGCTTTGGGGAGCCCTGGAGCTCCCTGCCCGCACTGAGGCAGGGATGATGCTCACCCACTGCAACCTGCAGAGCTACACCATCCTGCGGCCCCTGGTGCAGGAGAAGTTGCTCACCAGGAGGGCGGCCAAGATCCTGGCCCGGCGCAACCTCATCCTCTGGGAGCTGGAAGAGGCCTGAGTGTAGGGTGAGCTGAGCTGGCCGGGTCTCGGGCTAACCATGCCAGGGATGCTCGCAGCAGCATCGGACAGGACTTGCAGACCCTCTCCACTCCCAGCATGGGGCTTAAAAGCTTCAGGACCCTGAGTCAGCACTAGGGGGAAGAAACAACCCAAGCGAATTAATAAAATCAATTACACAGCACAGCGTCATTTACTGGAGCACCTCCACCCCTCCTTTTCCCAGGCAGGCAGGAGAGGAGCTACCGGGAGCACCCTTCGCCCTGCCCGGGGGACAGCAGGTACCCCCACCCCACCCCAAGCCCCCGCAGCCTGGAGGGGGCCCCCGGTGACAAGCAGAGGTGTCCCCAACATGGGGCTGTGTGCGACGAGGCAGTGCGGGGGACAGGCCGCCAGGTGTCCTCTGTGTGCAGCCGGACACGGCCCGGTGTGCAAGGGCTGGCTCCGTGCTTGTGCACACACGCGGGCACCCTCGCACCCACCCCTTGGAGCCCACCGGTGGTGCCTGCTGTACCTGGGAGGTACCACAACCATCACCGGGGCCTCTGGTCTGCTCTATGGGGTGCAGAGGGAAAAAGGTGGTGGGTGGGTGGTGGTGAGTAGGTCCTCTGGGTGGCTTGAGAGGGGTGGAGATGGGCAGGAAATGGATGCAGTGAAGGTCTCCCCTCTGACAGGGTGCTTCCAGGCTTGGAAAATTAGGGGGAGATGGGAAAAAAAAAAAACATGACACACACACAGAGTCTTCTGGTAGCCCCCAGCAGCAAGCAGTGACCCAGGCACAGTGGTGAACTGTTGAAACAGGGTCTTGGACAGCGAGGCAGGGGCAGGCAAGGGGCCAGATCCCCCCTGCCACCTTCCCTGGGTCAGGGAAAGATCAGGATGGATAGAGCACCATACAGCAATTTATAGGGAGCGATCCCAAAGGAGCCCCCATGATTGCATGGTGGCATGCAGGGCTCATCACCAAATTCCGACGAGGCCATTTCAACCCCAGGGATTCTCTGGTGGCTGATACAGGGTTGTGAGCAACCTCTACAAGGGGCGCAGCCAGAGGAGAGCTGACCCCATCTGTCTGCTGTCACCGGCCTCATCAAAGTCTTGTAAAACCATAGCAAAGTCAATGGGCTGCAGGAGCCCAATGAGCTGTTCCTCTGCCCCGAGCTGCCATAAAGTTCAGTCATCTGGCTAGGAAAGGCTTTGTCACTGCAGGGTGAGCAGAGCAGCACCCACCAAGCCCCAGCCCTGAAGGAAAGGGCTGCAGGTTGGGTACTCCCACGCGGTGAGGGCTCCCCAAAAGTCCCACCGAGCTTCCACCTCCAACAGGCAGCTTCTACACACTCACAGGCTGGTACAGCCCCACTCGGGCCTCCCTTCCACCCACAGCCTCCCCAGGAAAATAGATAACTTCACTGAATTAAGCAAATCGCCTGCAATGATATATAATACGCTGCTTGCTTGATTGGCTGTTATTAATAATGCATTGCTCAATCTAAACCATTCATAAAACGACTCCCTGCTAGCCCTGAGCAAAGTGCTTTGGGACTCGGCGGGGGGGGGGGGGAAGAGGCCAGAAGGAGCAGCATAAATCCTTTCTGTTTATGAAAATGGATTTCTTCGCCCAACAATCGTGCACAACTAATTAGAGCCAAAGGGCTGGTTCCTCCACATTTGATTGCGCCCTGTGAGATTGCTCAGGTTGGCTGGCTAGGGGGGTTGAAGTCCAAGGCAGAGGAGGATTCACCCCAATGAGCCTGAGAAAGGTTACCTGGATTATAGCTCTAATAAAAACATCAGCTGGCTAACATCCAAACAGGTTTGCATCCCATGGACCATCAAGAGCAAGGGAAGGGAGGTCAGGTCTCTCAAATATTTGGAGAAGTGGTAAGGCAAAGCTGAGGGAAGCCTTGTTGAGTTGGAAGAAGAAGCCACATCATCTCTGGCCAGCCAGGTCCTGCAGCCAGGGATGCTCCCAGGGTGGTGTCTCAAAGCACCCACCTGAACCTGGAGGAGCTGGCTTGAGGCTAGAAGCTAGAGAAGCCGGGAGGGCCCAAACTGGAGGTCTGGTCTTCTCCTTCTTAAATAGGCAAAGCCCCTGACTGGCACAGTGAGGAGGGCTCCTCCCTCAGACACCACCTGGCGATGAATGGTGTGAATCAGCAAACCCTCACTGACCGAAGTGGTGATCCAGTGATTCCTCCAGCTGGGAGGCTGCCCTCATTTATCCCAGTGGGACACGTGTCCCCAGAGCTGTGATGGTCAACGCCAGCTATGGACCTGGCCCCCAGCCCAGCTTTTACTTGTCACATGTTCTGGTATTCCAAAATGATGCTGAAACTTAGGGTGCCTGGGGCTGAGGCAGGTGTGGTGTGAGAAGGAGAAGTTGGCAGCCCCACAGCCTGCTCTTCCATCCATCCACCCACCTACCCACCCATCCCTCCATCCATCCATCTCCACACCTATCCATCTATCCACCCACCCATCCACCCATCCGTCTATCCACCCATCCACCCACCCATCTATCCACCCATCCATCCACCCATCCATCCATCCATCCATCCACCCATCCACCCATCCATGCCTCCACCCTCCACCGTCCTCTCTTGGAGCTCTCCTCTGAGGGGCCTGAAAAGCCACCGCAGAGCACCGTTGTTATTCCCTGCACTCAGCCCACAGGAAACTGAGGCACAAGTGGTGTCAGGAACGCCACATGTCATGTCACGTGGATGGGTGATGTAACTGACACCATGCAGCTTCACGCTACAATGACCTCCAGAGCGTGTAGATCTGGCCTACAGGAGCAGGGGAAGGGATGTGTTATCCATCCCGTCACAAGTGTCTCATCCCCTGACCCATTTATAGAACAACACGCTGCCTCCAATGCTCCTGAAACGCTGCCACCGTATCTAGGACACTTGGGTTTCTTCCTCTTGCATGATGAATGAAGGCATCTTGGGAAGAGCTCAGCGTAGTGTGGTGGATAGCAGCCAAGCCAGAAAGCAAGCGTCTTCTCCACCTTGGCCACGTCCTTGTGGCATTTTAACCTACTTTCGTGCTCCTCAAAGCAACTTTGCAGTCTTGCAGCCCTGTGTCACCCACCTGAGCTCTACAGCCCAAGTCCCAGCCATGGGTCAATAACATCAAAGGCTGCCCCATGGTCCTGCAGCCCCACGACGGTGTGGAGAGCTTGGGACGTGCAATAACCTGACACACAGCAGTGAGGAGCGGTGGGAGTATGCATCCAGCCTGCTTGGAGACGCTGAACCCCCCAAGTGCTGCCCCACCAACCATGGGAACCCCCTGCTGTGGTGCTTGGGTGAGACTGGCAGCCAGTGAGCGCTCAGAAAGTGAGCAGAACGGAGCGGGGGGGAAGGGAAAAAAAGCCTATAAACCACAACTCTGAACGTCTGATGCCGTAATTCCCTCAGCTGCAAATTGCTAGTGCTTGGGAGAGTGTCACAGTGAGGGTGAGGGCATGCTTGGGCGACCAGCCAGCCATGGGTATGGGAAGGGACTGAGGCACGACTCAGCCCTGAAGCTGCTGAGAGCACCATGGCAGCCCAAACCCCACTCTGGCAGGAAGGGAGACATGGACACACTGCCCTCCAGATGTCTGTGCTGGGTTTGGAGACATGCCTCCCTCCTGCTTGACCCTTCTGCAGCCCCCCGCAGCCCCCCAAAAGCGAGGTGGCATTGTCCATCTGCTTGGAACAGTCCCCTGGACCATGCCCAGGGCTGTTTTGGGGGATGCCAGTTGGGCTGGGCCAAAACTGTGCCAGGGAGTGTGGTGACAGCTATGGTGTAGGTGGCCATGGTGCAACACTTGGACAGGCCTTGGTTCACTTGCATGGAGACAAGGTGGTTTTGGTGGCTGCGCATCACCCTGGCCCCTTGCCCACCCCCCGTCATCCCTCAGATCATGGGGCTGAAGGGAAACTGAGGGACGGCTGGGACCGACCGCTTTGGCTGAGGGGGTCGCTGGGTGCCAGGCTTTGGGCTGGGTGCCTCCATCGAGGATCAGGCCTGGCATTTTGCTGTCTCTGCCCCC